TTGGTTATTGTCTATCTGCCTTACACAGAATTAGATGCAGGTCCCTTCTTTTAGGAGGCTAGCATGATACTATGTAGAGCTGTTAAATTGCTCATGTTGATCACCTTTTTTTTGGAAAAAAAAAAAAAGCTTAGTATTTCCACAATCTAGCAATGTCTGACATATAGCCAACACTCTAAAAATGTTCACTGTATGGCACAGATTATGTTAATAAGCTTTTAAAAAATCCTCAAATACTTATATAACTATGTTAAAAAAGATATATATTTCAAAAGCAATATTCACACAATGTCAAAAATAGTACCCAAAAAGTATGGAATAAAAAATGAACTCTCCAACCCACCAAATTCTACTCCTAGAAGTGACTATTGTCACAGTTTTGTGTGTAACTTTCCAGAACTTTTCTAGTTTTAGGCAATAACACAAACATACACAGTTTTCTTTCTTTTTTTTTCTAGAACAAGTTCTTAGAGAGCTTCTGCTTCTGGCTTCTCATATACCCACTACAGTGGTTCTCCAAGTATGGTTCTTGATCCAGCAGCATCAGCATCACCAGCGATTTGTTAGAAATGTACATTCTTGAGCCTCATCTCAGATACTGAATCAGAAACTTTTGAACTGAGATACAGCTATCTGAATTTTAGCACATCCTCCAGGGATTCTGATCCACTCATCATGGTTTGCAAACCACTGCTCTAATCTAGTCAAGTCACCCGGATCAAGCCAGTTGTGTTTTGTTTTGACTGTCCTCTGAACATATCAGGCACTGAAGCCTTGGCTCATTTTTATCACCTCTGCTTAGAAAATGTTTTCTTTATCTTCTCATTAATTTGTCAAAGCCCAGAAGTCGTTACTCTTCCTCAAAGTGATCTCTTACTTTCATAGCTCATACTGATCTCTCTTGTCCTCTACCTCCAACTCCCAATGGCTTTGTTTTTAACACTAACATGGCAATGTTTAGGGTTGAATTGAGTTACAGTGTGTGATACAGTGTTTCCCAGCCAACCAATAAACTCTTTCAACAGGAACTACGTTTTATTCTATTGTAAATATCCCACCATACCCAGCACCATTCCTGACACATGAGAGCTCAATACATCTGCAAGAAATTACTTTGGAAAAAAAAAAACCTTAAATGCTTCATTTATGTAACAGACATATGCATAGTCTGTTGCTTCCAACAGGGTCCTTTTAAATATTTATTTTAATAAATACTATGCAGTAAAATACGGTAGAAACTGTGTTTGCTCTGATACCAACAGGGACAGCGGCCACACAGGCAAACAAATATGAGTGAATCCCCTGCTCAAGACCAGATTAAAATGCAGTGTACCTCAGGTTACCCTACTGAAAAATGCAAATATGCAACATGACACTGAAGCAACAAATCCCAATGCCACTGTTGGGGATAAACAAGCTTCTTAAAGCAGGACCCTATTTGTAAATGCTCAGAAACAAAGTGGAGGCCTTCGAGTGGCAGACAAGATCGAGAGTTGAATCTAAAAAGGCAGAAAGGGGAACTGAAGGGCAGAGGAAGAATAGAGGGGAAGTGAGAAAATCTCACCCTTGAGTACAGGTAAACATGGGTAAATTCTCCCATTTGAGTACATAAAGTAAAAGCAATTTCACATATTTTTAAGCACACCCGCATACCATATAACATCCATTCAGGCAATGTCTAGTTGCATGTATGCCCCTGGTCTCACACGGGTATACAGCGACTCCTCATTTAATATGGTTAGGTTCCAAAGACCAGGCCTTTATGCAAAAATTTGCCTTATGCAAAAATAGAAGACCACTTCAAGTCACAAAATGAAGGATCTCTACATCACTACGAAACTGCCAATTCCATCATTACATAACTGCCACAGAAAATCATGGCCCAGCCAAGTTGACGTACAACCTTAACCATCACAGTGAGCATTACTTTCAACTCCCACTCAGGGGTTGATGTATGTCATCTCAAATTTTTTAATATTATCATAAATGTGAAGTATAGACTAATGAGATAGTTTATAAATGAAGAATAGGTGAATTAAGAGTTCAGAAATCCTAAGACAACATGATGCAGTAAACACGAGTTTCCTACCTCTTCTACAAAGCCATTGAGCTTCCAGGTATATATAGTACAGTACATATACAAGGGGACTTCAAAAAGTTTGTAGGCAAATGGAACTGAAAAAGAATAGATTTTTCCATTAACTTTTTGAAACCCTATCATATCTTGATAGTCATAATAAATATTTATATTACGAGTTTATGCATGTACCATACTTCCTATCTATAAAAAATCTATAGTTTAACAGTGTATGCTTCGACATGTTGGGAGCACCATTCAATATTATGTATAGCATGTCTTTTGAATGTTGTAGCATTATCTGTTTATATTCTTTAGAAAATTACTGTGAAGTACATCATGGCTCCCAAACACAGCTAAATCAGTGCTAGTGACGGCAGCAACCAGAGGCACAGGACAAGCATCGATTTGGAAGAGGTAATTAAACAAAATGAAAGTGGAAAATCAATGAATACTACTGCTTATGATTTAGGCATGTCATACTCGACAATTACAACAATCCTCAAAAGCAAAGCAAAAATTAGCCAGGATATTAATCCAAGCTGAAAGCTACAAAGCTAACAAAAATTCAAGAGGGACCTATAGCAGATATAGAAATTGCTAATGCTGTGGTTTGAGGACTAAAACACAAAATGGATCCTTCAGCACACTGACAATCATTGCTACGGTACAAAGCTTGTTTAAGACGCTTAGTGAAAAAGCAGACCAGACTATGTTCATAGAATCACATAGCATCCAGAATATATTGTCAAACCTTCAGTCACAAATGACTGTAATGGAAAGGACTGGTGGAAACTCATTGAGCCAAAGGAGCCCAAACAGTTAAGTGCTATGCTGCTAACCAAATGGCTGGCAGTTTGAAACTTTCTGAGGGAGAAAGACCTGCTGATCTACTTTCACAAAGATTACAGTCAAGAAAGCCCGTGGGACAGCTCTACTGTTGCTATGAACCAGGATTGACTTGACAGCACTCAACAATAGGCACATGGGCTATAAAAGATGGCCACTACACTACCTCATAAAGCTAAAAGACCCAAGGGAAGATTGTAATCTCTGTATGTAGGCAATATGCATGGGTGGAATTAACTCAATGACAGTGAGCTTGATGTGTGTGTGTGTGTATAAACATGTAATTTGAAAGAGAAACAAAAACAAATCCACTGTCACTGAATTGCTTTGAGTTATGTCCACCCCATGTAGGGTTTCCAAGGCTGTAAATCTTTATGCGAGCAGATAGCCTCCTCTTTCCCTTATGGAGCCATGGTAGGTTTGAATTGCCGACTTTGTTAGCAGTCCAAAGCTTACTCCACAGAGGCACCATATTGATAAATCTGATAAATGCTGTAACAGAGAAATAAAATGTCCTGCATAAATAAGAATGATGAATTCTAACTGTGAATCGAACAGGGAAGGCCACAGAGAGAATGCGGTGATTTAGTGGAACATTTGAAATACGGAGAATTTGCTGAGAAAGAAGGCTTGAGCATTGTAGTGTTGGAAAAAAGAGAGAATGTTAGAGCCAGTTATTTTAGGGGAGAAACATTCCTATATTTTTACAGCTGCTCATTTGGGAATCTAAATCAAGGGAGTCTTCTTACATTCAGCACATCTTTGTCAATGCTCTCTTTCTCCTTTTCATTTTACTTCAATACTGAAATGCTCAAGCCCTGCATTGGAGCAAAGCCAGAAAGCTCCAGAATAAGGTGAATGCTGGCCAAATCTGCTCTGTCACCTCCAAGTCCAGCCAGCCCAGCTAGCCCAGTCCTGTTCTCCTGGCAGCCACAGAAGGAAGGCTAATTATATCCTTGGGGGGGG